CCTACTGCAGGTACCATCCTCAAAGGCAAACAGGCTTGGCTTTCCTGCCAAGAGCCCGCCTCTGGCTCTGAGCATGTGCCGGTGGCTGAGGCGGAAGGAGCAGATATGGACGCCCCCCTCCCCGACACTAACCGGAAAAACAAACTGCAAACCAGTTCATTTCTCCAGGGGTTCATGGTGGTTCATAGTTAGTCACGGACCACAAACCATGGGTTTTCTGGTTGCTGCCCATCTCTAGTACTCACGTACCATACCTTGAGCCATTCAGCATCATTGCAATCTCTCTCACCCGCTTTAAAAAAAAAAACAGTTCCTTATCTACATGGTGGTGAAGACCTGCTAGAATACTGATAATCCTGGGGAAGCAGGGCCTAGTCATACACTATTCACACATTCGTTTATATTCCACCTTTCTCCCAATTAAGAGACTCAAGTCACAGGTTGAACCTTCCACCTTGCAGCACCTTTCTGTCCCATGAAAACCAAAACCCCCAAAGAACTGAAGACTCTGGCTGCAAAATAAGGCACCCCACTGATCTGGGCCTTGACCCCTGCTATTCTCACTATGGGGCTTCAGGCATAGTGACTCTCCCTGCCTCTATCAGGGTGACTCTGGCCTCTACTGCAAATTATCCACAAAGTGCTGGACACACTTTATATTTTTGTAGTTAGACTACAGTGTTTTAGAAGCCTTTTTAATATACATATATTTTGTGGAGAGCCAATTTAGCTGAAAGCATTCTGTAATCATTTCCTCTATCTTTCCTTTTTGTCTGACACTTGGAGAAGAGGATGACCTATTTACATAATTAGTGTCCCCATCAAGTCTGGAGTCCAAGAACATGCTGGTTCCCATCTTCGTGATCATTTGAAGTGTTAAGATTGTGGTCAAAGATGCTTAAGTGTTAGAATTGAAGACTACAAACCACAGCACATAATCTATAATGTTCTTTTTACACAGCAGCGCAAGAACATACATTTCATTTTAATTAGCTCATGAGACATGGCTGATGCTCCCCATGTTTCCATGCACCTGGTCAAGTGGGTGATTATGGAATGTAGTAAGGATTGATGAGCAGCAGTAAAGGGTAAAAGGCCTTCCCCTCGCAGAGACTGGGCCTCACAGCGCAAGAGAAACCTGCCCCTCGTCTACCCAGGGCAGAGGAAGAAGGTATACAGGTGGAAATACTTGATTCATCCTTCCTTATGAACTGCTGTCCCTGATTTTCCCAATGTGCCATCCGATAAGAAAAATGAGAATCTACCCCAGTGGTTCCCGACCTGTGGTCCTCCAATGTTTGAAACCTCCACAAGTGGTCAGATTATGAGAGATGAAGTCCAGAACATCTAAGAAAACCACAGGTTGTGAACAAGTGGGCTATGAATCTCACACCATCAGCCAAATCAAATGTCAGAGCATGGAAAGACCAACCCCAGCTATAACAGGAGTCCATGAAAGGGTGAGACTGCAAGAGGGATCAATCTCTCTCTCTCTCGTACTGTTCTCAGTATTCTGCCCAAGTGGTGAGATGCCAGGGAAAGCCTCCCAGAAAACTACTGAGCGAGGAATAAGTCTCTCCCTGCTGTCCTTGGATCTGGTGTGGTATTAAAAGCTAAATAATGGCAGCAAGGTTCTTAAGAAGAAGTTTGTCCAACCAAGGCCCATCGTCAAGACTAAAAACATACATGATTTCTTTCCCCAGTTCACAATCAGATTGTCCTGAGTCAAAAGCAATGATTGCCCAAGTCGAATTTCCCTGAGAGAGAAAAAAAAGACAATATCGTCCCGGCCAAGCTTCTCATGGTTACTGTCTGATAAGAATGAGGGTGTGGAGAAAAAAGTGCAACTAAACACACACCGCTCCCCACTGGCCGCCTGCTTAAGAGGAGGAAACATAGAACATGGAGGGTAGGTTCATGGTGTTATTTAAGCCTCCTCAGATTGCAAGGAAAGCCAAATCAGAGCTCTTGACAACTTGAGATGCCGTTGCAAGTAGGAGGGTCTTCAGGTTCTGGCAGTCCCCGATCCCAAGGAAGAGGCGCTAAGAGGTGCCCGGGCAAACCCAGCCTCCGAAGGCCTTCTCCAAGTATCGTGCCACCGCCAGCGTCAAGCGGTCACTGTGAGGTCCAGCCACCACCTGGATGCCCAGCGGGAGGCCATCCTTGTTCAAGCCCAGTGGACACTGGGTCACAGGTAAGCCCAGAATGTTGAAGATCGCTGAAATGAGAACAAAGCACAGGAAAGAGGCTCAAAGGGCTTTAATAACCCTGGGAATGTTCCTTCCGCGTCTACCTAGAACTCTATCACAATACCACGCAGTTTGTCACTGGGAGCGACCAACAAGGTTATGAGGTGGTTCTTGACTTCCTTGGTCACAGAAAGGTAGCACGCGGGGCTACCAGCAACCATCATCGGGCCTTTTGTAACAGCCCTCTGGCAGCAGTAAGTTACCATTATTTTTCTGTGTATAAGACGCCCCCCATGTATAAGACGCACCCCCACTTTTCTAACCCAAAATTAAGAAATCTAAGTGGGGCTTAGCAAGTGTAGGGGGAAAGGAATCAAAGTGCTGCAGGGTCACTTTGATCCCTGCTTTCCCCTCCACTTGTTTTTGTTCTTTCCTCCGCTTACTTCCGTGTATAAGACCCCCCTCAATTTTTAGTCTAAAAGATTTTAGGCAAAAGTATAGTCTTATACATGGAAAAATAAGGTACGTTTTCTATTCTGACCTCATTTACAAACATTCAAAGTACAGTACTTACTTCTGTTTGAATAGTCATAGGCTTGAGAATGGCCACCGTGCTCTGTTAGCCAAAATGCCAAAGAGTCTTATAGTTTAGAAGTTGCAGCAGGGCGAGTTTGGATTTTGCTGTGACAAGGATGTGCATGCGCATATACGTGAAAGCTGTGCTCCACTATATGATTCAGTCATGCAAGAGACAGACCAAGCCCTGGTTCTTAGGAGTATTTATAAAGAGTACTACAATATGTGACTTCTTTTAAGATGCTCGCACTGAGGACAGCAAGAACACAGCTAAAACGGCTCATTTGAAAGCAAAATTAAACATACGGTCAAAGTTCTCTGCCCTGCTGTAACTCATTCTATGCCTGAAAACACCCAGCGGAAACAGCAGCCTGGGGCAACTAAAATAACAGCGTATTACTCCCCTAGAGTCTACTAATTCCACCTCTAATTCCTTCCCTTTCTCCTATCTTTCCTGTGCCAAGCTTTAGATTGTAACTTATTTGGGACAGCAACCTGTCCTTCTCTATATGCCTATGCTCTGTAAACTATGATGTACACAGAGTTTTACTGCTACTACTGAAATCGATCATGATAACTTACCTGTGTAGGCAAAATTAAAAGGCATTGCCAAGGGAGTATGATGCTTTGGAGCTACGACAGGATGAGACGGGTATAAGAGAACACCATCATTCCCCAGTAAATTCACCATCTCAGCCTGAAGCTTCTGTGCCTTGGCTGCTAGCTTTGCATTCTGCTTTGGAGTATATTTCAGAAACTTCTCAGTTATTCCTAGAGCTGGGGGGGGGGAAGCAACACAGAGACAAAGACTGATTAGAGACAAGCAGCAGTTTCAGGAGTAAGCGGCAGTATTTATTTAATTATCTTTTAATGCGCACTTGATATGTAATAGTTTTGCACACAACTTTGGGTGGGCATCAGCCCATGCACGTTCAGTGGTGCAACCACAGTTTCCCATCTCCAGACAAGTTTCCCACAACACCAAGAGGCAGCAAAAACTAGAATTCTCTTCACGACCCGTTAATTCTTAGCATCCTCTGAGCTAGTCCTGAACGCGAGCGCCACCTTCTGGTTCCCCAAGCAGGATTACATCCCAAATTCCTCTCAACCCACTCAAAAGGCAAAACACCCGAGCATCCTTGTCAAAACGAGTGTTTTTCAAAAAACGGCACTTGATAACCACAGAGAAGCACAACTGTCAAAAACGTTCAGAAATAAGGGGTGTTACCAATGGCTGGAAGGGTGTGTGAAGACATTCCCAACGTCCACTTCACCAGCTCCCAGGATGGCCACACCGGCTTTCCGTGGTCCCCCAGCAAGTCTGTGAATGCCTGTGTTTCCTACAAAATGATATGCATTAGAAAGCAGTGATGCAAAGAAGCCCCAACTATTTCCTGCTTCTGCTCATGATTAGCTTTTAATGTCAAGGGACCATTTATTCCCAAACTCTTTTCTTATTTACTTTAATAACAGCGAGGTGCATTCGGCTTACGGAGGACATTCCTTCAGCACCCCCAAACCCACGTTCCTGAGCCTTGTTTTTTAAATTCCTGTGAAAATTGGAGAATCCCTCTGTCTCCAGGCAGAGGGATTCTTGGCTAGAACAACTTATTTCAGCAGCGAAAATGAGCAGGGACCATTTGTTTACTACCAGCTTTACTGGAAACTGGACATGCCACCTACAGAGGTCTAGAAAAGGGGAAATGGTGCAAACTCTCAACCCTCTCTCAAGCTGGCCACCACTCCTATCCAGGAACAATGGTCCCCTCTTCCAGAGAGGCCTTCCTCTCAGTCCCGCCCCCTTCACAGGAGCGTCTGGTGGGGACACAGGAGAGGGCCTCCTCGGTGGTCGCTCCCAGAGACTGTGGAACTCCCTCCCACTGGAGGCCAGGCTGGCTCCATCTTTGCTGTCCTTCTGCAAGCAAGCAACAACCTTTCTCTTTAGGCCAGCTTTCCCTTAGTGATTGTCTGCCCAAGTGAGGTTTTTTTAATGGACTGTTGTACCTTCCTGTTTGAATGTGTTTTTAGCATAGCTTGCGTTTACCATTTCTCAGAATAGTATTTGTTTATGTACCTTACTGCTTTGAATGTGTTTTTAGCATAGCTTGTGTTTACCATTTCTCAGAATGGTATTTGTTTGTTCTTTTCAAATACTTATATACTTCTTGTTTATACCTTTAAAAATTGTCTTTTTATTCCTATAAGCCGCCTTTGTATGCTCATTGTTTTTAACCTTAAATATTGTCTTTTAATGTAATGTAAACCACCTTGAGTCTTTTTTAATGAGAAAGGCAGAGTAAAAATATTTTAAATAAATAATAAATTCTCAGTGGGAGCCATTTGACCTCCTTGGAGGCCCTGGCACATTCGAAGGGGGAAACAGACTGGAAAAAGTTATTCACACACCATCTTATAAGGTTCGTTTTGCAAGTTATACAATCCTGATTTGGCCTGATTTGTGTTTATGGCCATGGCTTTAAAAAAAAGGTTGAGAATGGCTGGTGAATTATGGAAGGAGACACTGACAGTCCAAGCTACTGTGGAGGGAGAAACCACCGTTTGCAAAGCTAACTGTTGCTGATCACCATTTAACAAATCCACATACTGCATGTAGCAAGAAAGAGATAAGGACGTAGCTGGAGAGGGAAGCCTTCCAGCATTCCTTGTGGCTTCTTAGATTCTTCAAGGCTACCTCATCTGATAAGCCAAGCAGGGCAATTGCTTTGTTATTGCAGAGGCTTTGCAACTAAGGTATTAAATCACAGGGAACGTGTGGTGCTCGGGAGAAGTTCCAGGCTAAAAACTTTCGCCAAAGAACTTTCTCAGTGTTGCCTTGAAAGTCAGCAAATGAAGAGCCTTCACTGTAGCCTTTTTGAGATATATATATTTTTTTGCTGCAGCATTACTTTGTTCAAGTTGGGTTTTTTTCCTCTTTGGAATTATTTAAACACTTTTTACACACACATACACCCAAGTGTAGTATTCCCACCCCTCCAAGTGACTTTGGCTGTCATCCGTGCTGTTCCCCTGGTGCTGTGCATTTACAGAATTGTGCTGCACTGGCAGGGCACATTCTGCGTTCATGTGAGATAAAGGGGAGGCCCAAGAATCCCACCTGGTATTCTGTAGAATATCAACCAAAGAGCCCCCCCCCCGGCGCTTGGCCTTTTCCATACCTGGCCGTCACTGGTTTGGGCAGACATCATGACAGACCAAATTTCAAAGGAATACTTCATATTGTGAATTGTGACGTTCTGCACTTGAGCTGCCAGGTCTGTCTCCAGGTGCTTCACTACCTGCAGAGTAAGACAGAAAAAAAGAGAGAGAGAGAGAGAGACTCAGGTCATCTCCTGCCATTTTATTCTAGTAAACCAGCAATGAGAACCGCCCTTCAGATGTTTCTGCACTGCTCTTCCACAATGGCTGGCGCTGATGGGAGTTGTCATCCAGCAAACGGTGGAGGACTGCCTTTAGCTATGCCTTTTAGAAAGAGCTGTTAGAGGATGAGTGGAAAGGCTGTTGGCCAAAGACCACCCAAGGACCTGCAATGCTCTGGGGAGGAATGGAAAGTTTTAAAGATTTCCTACTAGCAACCAGCTAATTAGTATTCATGCAGTTCTAATGACACTACAAGAAGCTGGTACCTCACTTCCTGCTAGTTGGTTGCAGAAAGCTGGGAAGTCACTCAGATGTTCAGCTATGAATCACCAAGGAAGGGAATGTGTCATGTGATATACAATATATATTCGTGTATAAGCCGACCTGAATATAAGCCGAGGAACCCAATTTTACCACAAAAAACTGAGAAAACCTATTCACTCGAGTATAAGTCAAGGGTGGAAAATGCAGCAGCTGCTGGTATATTTCAAAAATAAAGATACCAATAAAATTACATTAATTGAGGCATCAGTAGGTTAAATGTTTCTGAAGATACTGCCCTTCTAAGCTGCGAGACACACACTTCACTGCCTCTGATACTGCCCTTTTGAGCTGCGAGACACACACTTCACTGCCTCCGACACATACCGGATGCTGCGCTTATCTACTGCTCTACTGCTGTGTAACAAGATGGAGGGATACGGAGGATGGAGGAGAAAGGTGGGAGGAGGAAGGTGGGTATATAGAATATGCAGAAGGAGGAGGATGGGGTGTCCTGGAAGCAGAAATGCAGTGTACTTAATCTGGGTCATTGGAGCACCCACAGAGGCTGCAGGCGCCCATAAATGAGTGTGCGATAACACCCACACCGAGGCTGCAGGCGCCCATAAATGAGTGTGCAAGTCCGGAGAACACCCGCACTGCAGGAGAACACATGTAATTTTGACACTGACTCAAGTATAAGCCGAGGGGGGTGCTTTTTCAGCAAAAAATTGTGCTGAAAAACTAGGCTTATACTCGAGTATATACAGTACATGCAGTTTCACAGGGTGTCTTGCTTGGTGGTCCCAGCTGAACATCTGGATGACTTCTGAAAAAGCAGGGATGCTTCAAGTAACAGGATATGCTTGCTTGTGGAGTCCCCTTCCATTGAGTAACAGAGAACAAAATGCTCTATATTCTCCAGGGATTCCTCTGTGTCAACCAACCACACTAAGTTTTTCCATGTCCCCATTAACAAGAGGGATCACAGTTCAGAAGAATAATGAGTAAATGTCCTTTAGTTTAGGTATCAAAGATCTACAGAAGCCTTCAGTTTGTCATTTTAATCTTTTGAAGAGTGTGCTTCGCAGACACATGAAAGCTTATGAAACAATTTAGTCTCAAAAGGTCAAAAAGACATTAAGGTTCTCTTTTGCTAAACAGAGAAACACACCTACCAGCTAGATTATCCTTTTGATCAAGCAATGAACCCTATGATTGACCAGATACCAGTCTGGACAAAGACAGAGCCAATGCAACCCAGGAATGGTAACTATTTTTCCCAGCACGTACCTCCTCTATGTTCCTTAAATATAGTCAGACTGCTTCATTTAAAGAAAGTCCATTAAAATAATACCAAGCTAAAGTATATCAACAGGTCTTTCCCAACCGTATGTGGAGATTAACCTGGGTCTTTCCATAGATAAAGCCTCTCCCTCAGTGAGCTACAGCCCCTTTTATGTTTCTGGATAACATGGCGCTCAAACGTGCTGTGACTCACAAGGGCTCACAGAAGTTAATCTACCTCTTAGCCAAATTCCTACCTAAGCAGACCGGGGCCTAGAAAGCTGAAAGACCGCCCCCTCCCGTCAGGCTCCTATCGGAGAGATCATGTCTGGAATTGGACATCTTTGCCCCAAGTCCTCCTGTATGTATGCCCCCCCCTTGATGTCTTGCTCGGAGAGGATAAAAGACAGGTTGTTCTTCTACATCAGCATTTCCCATTACAGAATTCTTCCCAAGCAAAGTTAAGCTGGCTCCATCCTTGCTAAACTATTTCAATTTGAAATTGTGTTGCCTTTTTTTAAAAAAAACAAATCAATTTCAATAAATTGTTTTTGTATTTCTTTTTAAACAGAGCTTTTTATGTAACTCTTATTGTTGCTTCCAAAGCCTTGGTGTGCAGGATAGGGGTGAACAAGTGCCTGTAATAAGTAACAATAAGTCAACATCCTGTCGCTGTAACAATATTTCAAGATTTTGTGAACAAAGATGCAACTTCTTCTGACCTTCCGATGTGCCTGAAGAAGCTCCGGATCCACTGGGGAGACAAAAATACTACCTCCATCATGCTCCATAGAATAGAATTTTATATCGCCCAGGGACACCTCCTCGTCCAGATTCAACCTAAGGAAGAAGGAAGAAAACAGTCAAAAGTGAGAATTGAGGAACACTTAGTTGGTACAGAGGGGTGCAGCCTGGGGCAGTGATTTGATTCACAAATATTTACCTGTTCTGTACAGAATGCCATGGCAAGAAAGGACTCAAAACTAGGTGGATCACTGTTCCTGCCTTTTAGAGTTCTACAATATAGTGAAAAGGCACTTAACATGGGTAAGAGGAACAAAACAAAAAATATTTATTTTAATGTGAGCCTTTCTGGTTCTTAAAAGAACCAAAAATAACCTGAAATGTCATCAATGTTCCAAACACAAGGCAATGATGCAAAAAAAAATCTGTATTAGGGAGGAAGCCAAAGAAATAGTTGACATGATTTGCTGTCCTATGTTTCATTGAACTGCAAATGATAATTCAGGAAGAGAGGGGATGCACCACTAACATCTACATAGATTCTGTAATGCCGAAATCTGAGAAAATCTGACACCCAATGATGATTGTCCAAAAACGAAACAAGAGATAGTGCTGGAATATGAGAGTCCCAGGTCAGAAAGCACTCAGTTAGCTATTGAAGAAAAACAAAGGACAAGGACTAATATCACTGCCACTAATGATGCAACTAGATTAAAGCTGAAAGGATGTGTAGTTGCTGACATGTACAAAATAAAGGGAAAGCCCTTATGCTGTATAACACATAGAACTGGAACATGAAATGTGAGAAGTATCAATCAAAGTATCAATGAAAAAGTGGACTGGAACACAATATTTTCAGTCAGACAACTACAAAGTTATCTACTCTGGAAATGAGAAGCACAGAAGAAACGGAGTGGCTCTAATATTGAGGCAAGACATAGCACCAGCAGTTAATTGCTACAATGCAAGGTCTGACTGAAAAACAGCAGTCAGATTCTGTGGAAATTCTATTAATCTAGCCATCATTCAAGTCTATGCTCCAACTACAGATGTTGAAGATGAAGAATTTGCAAGCTTTTATGGAAGATTCCAGGCAGAAATTGAGCACACACAAAAACAAGGCATGCTTATAATCACTGGTGAATGGAAGACAAAAGTAGGAAACAAAGCAGAATCAAATACTGTTGGAAAATATGGCCTAGGAAAATGAAACGAAGAATTTTGCAGAGCCCACCATCTGTTTGTTGTAAATATTTGCTTCTAAACAGATGACTAAACAGATTACTATACATATCAACATCACCAGATGGTCAATACAGAAATCAAACAGACTAAGTACAGTGGTGCCTCGCTTAACAATGTTAATTGGTTCCAAAAAAACATCACTATGGGAAAACATCGCTAAGCGAAACACCATTTCCCATAGGAATGCATTGAAAACCGGTTAATCCGTTCCAATGGGAACGGATTACCGTCCTTAAGCGAAAATCCCCATAGGAAACATCGCTAAGTGAAACAATGTTTCCCCCATTGGAATGCATTGAAGCCTATTCAATGCATTCCAATGGTTTTGCAATGTCCATTTTCGCTCATTTAAAAGTGTCTTAACATGTTTGAAACCTGTTTTAAATGCTTGGAATCGTTAGAGCACCTCGTGAAACAGGTGCAAACTTAATTTGGCTTTGTTCTGAGTCTTCGTTAATCTCTGGTGAATTTTTTCCCCATTGGAATGCAATGAACTTTTAAATGAGCGAAAACGGACATCGTTAAGTGAAAATCGCGCATCGAGAACATCGTTAAATGATGCGGAAAATTCCTCAAAAAACCCCATCGCTAAGCGAATACATTGTTAAACAAAGCAATCGCTAAGCGAGGCACCACTGTAACTGGAAGCAGGATATGGAGAAGCTTTAGTCTCTCTGATCACAAACTATTAATATTAGAGATGTGCACTAGCACCAGAATTCAGATTCAGAATTTATATTGCAAATTACAGTCCTTTGAATTCAGAATATGGAATTTTAAAAATTCAGAATTTCCAGATATCTAGAACTCTGTTACGAGTCATATCATTATTTCCACCTTTAAAATAGACACAAAGGCAAAATATTTTAAAAGGCTTTGTGTCCTCTGCCACCTTCCCAGCAATTGTGCCAGACAAAAAGAGTGCACACCAACAGCCAGCTGTGCCTAGATTTAAGGAAGTGACGGTAGCAGGCCTTACACATCAAACCCTGAACAGTGGGGATGCCAGCGGGAAATGCCAGTAGCATTGGGCAAGCAAAAGACAGGCGGAATTTTAAAAATTCAAGACGCCCTGGGGAGCGACCAGACGCCCTGGGCAGCACGGGCAGGCCGGTCAGAGCAGCAGGCAGCCAGTCGTGGGTGGGAACTGTGCCAAAGTACAGGGCACAAGTGCAGTTGAGTGTGTGAGGAGTAGCCGTTTGAGGAATGGAAGAGGCAGAAGGAGGGGCGGCAGACAGAAGCCATGGCATAGCTAGTCCTGTGAGCAGAGGGTGCCGTTCTCTCTGACTTAAAGGGGACTTTGGGGAAGCCCAGCAATGGCAGGTTGACCTTAAGGGAAATACATTTCTCTACAAATTCAGGTTCCAGTTGTGAGTGGTGTGAACGGACAGCGTCCCCACCTGAGAGGACTCTTTCTCTCACTGAACACCTGAGTTGGTGGGCAAGACAGCGAGTGCCAATGTAAACCACTCTTTGAACTTTGTGCAAAACAAGCTTGTTAGGGTCACCATGAGACAGAAGTGACCGGCTGGCCCATGACAACAACAATACCAGTTACTCCTTAACGGCACGACAATCCGATACATTACAGCTCAACAGGCAGAAACCTGAGTGCACACATTCCACTGCAAGTCACATTTCTCCTGGGCATGCAGACTAGTTTATGCCCCAAGCAGTAATTATCTAGAGAACTTGTTATAAAACAGCCAGGACAATTGCTTTGTGTTTGGGTGAGATCAGTTTTGGTTCACTGATGCAAAAAGGAGATCAGGCTGCGGGATTTGGCCTTACTTAGGATTTTTCTGTGAACAGTGGTGAACCCATCTTGGTCTACGTGGATATGACCCACATTCAGGCTGGCCTTTGCTATGTAAAGCTATTATCATTTTTCTTCCCTGTAATGCAAGCATGACCTTGGCAGGCCAGGTCAGGCCATTTCTTGGTCTTTTGAATCGTGGGCACAAAAGGAATATCCCACATTCGTGTAACAAAGGACTTTCTGAAGGACAGAATGTAGACCTGTGACTAAACAGCATGTTTTTGTTGCATATGCTGAGAAAGAGGCTCAGGTGGCCGAGCCAGCGATTCCAAGACTAAACACCAAAAGCGTTCGTGCTTCCCAGTCAGTCAGGATTTATGATGCCCTCCAAAACAACAAAAAGCACCTACTTGGCGACATTCGGTCCAGCCATGACCCTCAACATGGGTTCTAGGTCTTCTGCATAACGACACATGGGGCCAGTGCACAGGAAGTTTTTCCGGATGCCGACAGCATTAGGGAATTGGCCTTCACAGGGAACCACACCTACACAAACACGCCAAAAGCACTAAGTTTAACTTGCTTGTTAGCTTCATTTATTTAGCTATCTACTTATTTAATTTCTAGCCCATCGTTCTCCCTGTAGAGGGACTTGAGGTGGCTTTGGTCTGGTGATGGTGGTAACAGGGTAAGATTCATGTGTCATGTCAGACTATGCACATAGAGTGGTGCCTCGCTTAACGAGCGCACCGTACAACGACGAATCTGCATAGCAATCCCCTTTTCGGGATCGCTAATGCGGAGGCATACCGATCGTCCCAATGGGCAAAACTCACATAGGGACGATCGCTAAGCGTTTCGCTTACCAATCCTCGCTTTGCGATGCCCGCGGATCAGCTGTTTGGCGGTTCTAAAATGGCCGCCGGACGCCCGAAATGGCCGCGCACAGCGTTTTCGCGCCCTCCCCTCGCTTACTGATGGCGCGAAAATGGCTGCCGCTATGGAGGAAACTTCGCTGAATGATAAGTTTAGGGCCCATTGGAACGCATTAAACATCGTTAATGGGTTTTTATGTTCCGTTCAGCGATGTTTTCACATAGCGAGGGTTAATCCGGAACGGATTAACCTCGCTATGCGAGGCACCACTGTATTTCAAATTCATAATCCTAAATCATTTTTTCATAAATAATTACCCCTCCATCTGCCCGTTATTGTGGGACTGTAGAGCTTCATGGAGGAACACATTCACCAGCCACCAGGAGACTAAAGGTGACGATAAGATTGTATTCCAGCCCAGGTTTCCTCGAAGCTGCGCGTGCATGCCCCCACCTCCCTCAGCGCAGCTTTCTTCCTCCTCTGTGCAGCAATCACGTCCAAACCATTTTGCTTCTGGTCACAATGAAACCCTGCGTGGCGGGGGGGGCAGAGTCACGTGCGCACATAGGGGTGAAGTTGTGCACAAGAAAAGCAGAGCCCAGCCCGGCCTTCCAGAAAAAACAACGTGCCATGATGGGACGGCCAACTCATCCCAGTCTACCGGCCAGAGAATCAGCAGCTGCAAGGAATGACAAGTTACCTACCTGTAACTTTAGTTCTTTGAGTGGACCTCTGTGATTAACACTATGGGTAATCCGCGCATGCGCGGAGCTTCGTCAGAATATTCTAGAGCTTCTCTGGTAGCAAAGGAAAATACATTAACATAGACCCCTCCTCCCGGTATACGTACCTTGGCACCAAGGTTCTCCCTTCAGTTAGGTCAACCATCACATAAAGAAAAGGGCGTGACAATGGGGAGGCCGGGTCGGGGCATGTGAATCACAGAGGTCCACTCGAAGGACTACAATTACAGGTAGGCAACCTGTCATTCTTCTTCGTGGCCTCTGTGAATCACACTATGGGTGACTAAAAAGCTACCGTACCCGGAGGAGCATGTCTCACCAAGGTAGATGATAGCACGCCCAAAAGCAGAATCAGATTACTGCTGGATGTCTAGTGTGCAGTGATTCATAAATGTGGATGGCTGCCACATGGCAGAGGCACAGATGTCTGGTACGGGGACACCCCAAGGAAACGCCATCACCAATGCCCTAGAATGAGGACGGATATTCCATGGCACTGGAACTCGAGCAAGCTGATAAGCAAGCTGGATGATAGACACAACCAAGTTAGATATTCTCTGTGAGGTAACTTGAAGGCTGTTGGCAGGAAGTTGGTAGCTGACAAAAAGTCTAGCTGAGTATCTGAAGGATTGACTGAGGGCTAAGTAAAAGCCAAAGCCTGTCTTACATCCAGAACACGGACGATCCTTTGTTAACAAGTAAAAGGAGATGGAAAATAGAAGGAAGAACTAAAGGTTGGAATAGCTGGAACTCGGAGACAACCTTGGGGAGAAAAGAAATATCTACAAAAAAAC